CCAGCCTATGGCAATCCCTAGCGCCGCCATAGATGATGCTGTGACCAAAGGCACCTTGTCCCTCCTGAGTCCCCGTTACCCTCCTGATCTCAGAAGTCCCTGTGACACAGCGTCCGTGTGAGGGCACCGTGCTGGCAGAGGCCATGCAAATGGTGCTTGTACCTCCTGCTAACAACCCAGCTGTTCCTCCACCACGTGCAGGATGGTCCCTCCAGTACGCTTTAAGTTCTAGCAAACTGGGATGTTGGCCTTCACTTGAGAAGACATAACTGACAGCGGTGGAAAGAACGATCACACAGGAAGGAAAAAGAAAACCTCCTCAACATTTCTCTGCGTTCCCAGTCTCCCAGCACGCCCCTCGTTGTGCCAGCCAACGTGAAGCCACAGCAAAGCTCTCCCTCCAAGACACAGCTTGCACTGGGGTGAAAAACCAGACAAAAAGTTTCAGTCCCATTTTAGCGAGAAATAATCAGGATGACCACAACAAAATAAAGCAGGTAGCTGGCGCTGCGCTGGCTTTTGCCTGCACTGATTGGCAAAGGCAGTGAGCAAAGCCTCAAACCAGCTCTTTGACAAGGCCTAACGCCTCCCCGGCACCCCCGTGTAATTACACACTTGAGTGACTGGACTCTGAAGAAAATTGAAGGCCTGAGCTGCGAACAGCTGCCATTTTCTCTCTCCATCACGCCAGCATGATTACTTGAGAAATGAACAGCCCCGGCTCAAAGCTACTCCAGAATTCTCAGAGGAAATATGGCTCCGTGTTCAAATAATGAGATTCTTAAGGCAAGCGTTACTTACAATCACACCACACACCAGAAAGGGAAAGGGGAAAAAAAGGAGAGCCAGAAAGAAAGAATGCCAGGGTCCTTATACCTCACAAATTAGAATTTAAGAAACCCAGCCTCAGCCTAGGACAATTATGAGCCTTTTTCTGCTTTGGAGAGTTATTTTGTGGATGGCTACTTTGGATAGATTTCTGTCAGTAATAGACCACATTATGTTTGGGGAAAAAAAAAGTGGAGGGGGGAGAGAGGGAGAGAGAGAGAGAGAGAGTATTTTAATTAGCCTCTTAAAAAGCAAGATTCATAACTCTAGTCTGTTGAAAATCATGTTGTAGCTAAATTCATCCTGCCTTGAGGAAGGTGAGCATTCATTCTGCTTCAATGCATTATGTGGGACAAAGATTTTCTTGGGATTTTTAGGAAAGAGGAAAAAAGAGATGGGACTCAACTGCTTTTTAATTATTTTTCCTGGGAATGTAATTTACTGGGAGTTTTACCCACTAGAGTAGGACTGAAATTAATGAGAACTGAGATTTTTCATGGAGTAACAAGTCAGAAGAACATGAGAAGGTGATGGAAGGTGATGGCAGGTCCTGGCATGAGGATTCATTTGTGTTTCAGGGTGGAATCTACATCCGTCCAAGAGGAATTCTGACCCCAGGAGATTCCTCATCACTTTGCAAGCCCCCCGGAGAGCAGCACACCATCCCAAAGGTCAGAGGCCTGATCTGCAGTGGGCAGCATTAAGCTGAGATGTTGAGTCCCAGTCAGATTCCATCACACAGCCCAGAGTACAGGCCAGTCCAAAAGCATCACTGCAGCCTTGAGATAAGACTTTCTGAGACTATAACCAGGAAGAAGCTAAGAGAGACACTGCCAAGCCCTTAAGACCAAACTATGGCTCATGAAGAAAGAGCACACAAAAGCCCTCCAGGGCCTCCATATGGAGGCTAACGCCATTCACTATCAGGAAGTCAACCTCATTAGTAATGAAAGACCATAAAAATATTGCTATTATAGAAATATTGCTTTTATAGCAATTTTATAGCAATTTTTATAGCAATATTATAGAAATATTGCAATTATCTGCTTGTTGTGCTGGTAGCACATTGCTTTGCTTTCCAAGTAACTCCAGTTTGAGTACCACAAGCTAGATAAAGACAACACCTTTATGAGATCTCTGAAGAGGAAGAAGCAAACTGAACCAAGTATAAAGTCACAGCCCAGTGTCTGAAAGTTAGCCTCTAGCTAACATCCTCCTAATGTAGGAGTTCAGTCTGCATTCTTATCTTCCCACAGGTGCTCACAAAGCACTTGCATAATTAGCCTTCAGTGCACTCTATAGGCAATCAATGCAGGACAGACATGAACCAGAAGGTGCACAGACAGTGCTGAACAGTGAGTTCTGGGTCTCCTCTAACGCGTGGCTTACGTGCCCTAAGAACACCTGAAGAAACTCCCCACTGCTGCCACCGCTTCTGCAGCTAGAAGGTTTGTATCTTGAAAGATGAGAGCTGTCAGTTCAGGACCTTTCAAAGCATGACACAGACAACCACAAGAAGCAGCAAATTTCTAGAGCACCAATAAATGACTTACAATGAGCATTGTAACAAGCAGGTTCTTCTTGGTGACTTGAGCATGTGAGAAGATGTAGTTCAATACAGCATTCATATCACTTTTATTCTCTTCCCGAAGGGTAAAGACACACTTGTCATAGTGACCTGCAATCAGAAATGCACATTCTTTCCAGTCTCCACACCTCTGTGTCATGGAAGACACATGACTAGATTTGTCTTTATTTTTTTACATATATGTTTTGAGAACCTATTTTGCACTGTCCACACAATTAATTCTGGGAAGGAAGCATTCCCTCTCACCCCCTCAACTGTAAACTTTAATTTAAGCACCCTACTATTATTAAAACAGTTCCAACACCCAATACCTCCTTTGTGAGGAATATAAAGAAAGGCACACTGAGCTCAGTCTTTCATTCAAATTACAACCAAAATAAAATAAGAGCGAGAAGACTTGCACCATCCTCTACTACCAGCAAATTGAAGTGGAAATGAATGTGCAGCACCACTAGGCTGGTACAGGTACTGGAGCAGGACAAAAGAAAAGTAGAGCAAAATCTGAACTACCTGTAAGAATCAGAGCCTCCAAATCAGCTAGTGCTTCATTGCCATCTTGTGCCTAGACCCAGCAGTGCAATGCACTTACTTCAATTCTCAGTTCCAGGCTGAGGTTTGAGGTTTGTTTTTAAGAACATCAAACAGCTCCTGGTATTTTACAACAGGTGCAAATAGCTCAGTGATATTTTTTTTCTTTACTGCACTTGGTTTTCTTACTGTAGAATTTAATAAAGAGGCAAGATAGAATTAAATAGCGTGGTTCTTCCCAAAATCAAATCCTTGATGTGCTTAAGAGACTCACCATGCTGAAACTGAGTCTCCACCTTCAGATACTGACGGAGCAGATCCATCACCACTGCTTTCATGTGACCCCGAATACCACTCCGGTACCTGCAGAAGCAAACAAGTCAAACCAAGCTCTGAGTGAGACCAGCATGGTCTGGCACAGTCCTGCTTCTGAAGATCTGCAAAGTGAGTAACACTCAACACGAGTGGCAGAATAAGCCTGTCTGCTTATGGAAAGAAGCGTATCTGGTTCAGAAAACCCCAATTGTTACATGATTTCATAACCCCTGCCATTACTCGTGGGGTAGCATCGTTCATGTTTTGCATCAAAATGTCCTTTTTTCTTCTAAAAACCCTCAAAACTCTATAGAACTGAAAGGCGTAACACACACCAGGGGATCAATGACATGGCCAAGATGTGATCAGTGTCAGGACAGAAGTTAAATCTCTCTTTCATATGGCAAAGAGAGGAAGGATCTGTATGTGCACTTCACACAGGCATCAGGAGCCACACACGTGTGGCTCCCTCACTGCTGGCCTCCCCGAAGGAAGGATGACGGCTTATTCCTCGTGATTTAGGCTCTGAGGGTAACAAAACCATCTGAATAAAGACAAGTAGGCTCAGGTCTTTCAAGATGCAGGGAAAAATAAAAGGTTAGGGGGTACCCCTGAAAATGGCTCACCTCTGTACCAGCTGCACAATGCTCTGGGTGTTCATGAAGAAGACCTCACGCTCTGACTTGCGGTTCAAGGTGGCTGCGTGGCTATCCAGGATATTGGCAATCTGAAAGAGAGCAACCACATGACAGTGCCAGTCCTGCATGGGACCATCCGTCTGAACAACCAGCAGAGAAGCTGAGAACTTCCAGACAGACCAGGCCAAAGCTCCAGCAGACTCCAGCAAAGGCCAAAGCCTTAAACTGTGAAGGAAGTTAATGACCTGACAACGATATAAAAATCAATGAATAATACTGTATACTGGAGAAATCATCTTCCAAGACCTCATCACCTCACCAGGCCTCCCTTAGTTGCAATCACTCTTAAGGCTACACTGACACCAGAAATTGCACATCAGCACATATACCAGGCAAAAACCAAATAAATAAATGTCCACAAGGCCACTGATATAATTAAACTGCTTCCAAACTGCCTATTTAAAGCTAAAGGGAACACATACCCTTCAGCACAGGTAAAGGAGGCAAGCCTTGAAGCTCAAGTGATATAGGCAAGTATCTTTCATCACGAAGATCCCTTGTTCAAAAGCACCTTTCAGGTCCAACTAACCTCCAGATGATTTAAAAGAACCTTCTCTCTGTCCCAACACAAACTAATTTTTATTCCTTTATATAAGTGTGGTTGATCACCTGTTGGCTGGGAAACTGGCAAAGGACTGATGTGATGTTGCTGGCATATTGGGCCATCTCCTTCTTGATGGACTTCTCCACATTGGGTGGGATCCGTCCAGAAACACTGGTCATGATGTCCTGAAGTTCCAGCAGAGGCAAGGATGGATCTCTGAGCGTCTTCATTAGTCGCTCAACCCAGCCTTTCACCTAGAGAGAGACAAGTCAGTGTAAAGACAAGCATGAAGAAAAGAATAAGCAGCATGAAGGGAGAAAAGGAAAGGCCTTCCACTGAGGTCTTCTTCAATAGTGTTTTATCAGGCAGCCAGTCCAGGGACTAAAGAGAACTGTGGTAGATGACAAAGCTGCTGCGCTACCTCACGCCAACCGCTGACTCAGATTTGTCCACCGTCTTTCCTCCTCCCTCTAGGATTTCTACCACAGAAATGCTGCTGTGCAAGCAGCTCCCATGTACAAGGCTGCAGGCACAAGCAGTAGAGATCAAGCTCAGCTCCTGTTTGTGGCTTTGTTTTGAGTGACACAGGTGGGACTGTCCCACCTTACTCTCTGGTGAGACTGACTAGAAGTCTAAGACAGCAAACCCAATTGAGCTGGCACTAGCAGAGCAGCACTGCCCTGACCCTTGGTCCTCTGGCTGTGACATGCAAACTGGCCAGCCTCACCTTGAACAGAAAGGGTATCTGTGCTTTTGCTCTGAAATGAGAAGTAACCAGTACCTTGCTGCTGAAGTAGGGCTCTGGCAGGCAGTATCCATTCATCACATTGACCAGGTTATCCAGGACATAGTGGAAGATGCGATGGAGTTTCTCACCTCGAAGTGCTGTGCTCTGAATCTGTGGCAAGGTACCCGTGTGCAGTTCAGCCTGGAAACACAACGAACAGCACCGTGTCACTAACCCTCCTGTAGGGCATCAGCCATGGTGGTAACATCCAGTTATCCTTGACTGGAGGCTCAGATTAACTTGGGAGAATTCCCAGAGTGGAAAATGCACTTGGTTGAGAGACAGGAAAGTTATGAGCGGGATCTCCAGCAGCTGTGTATGTTGTGTACTTCCACAAAATAAGCTTCCCCACAAAATAAGATTCCAGTCTCTCTCCCAAATACGTTACAGTTGATCTCATTGTTAAATCCAGGACGACCAAAAATCTCAAAGAAAAGCACAGGAAAAGCCAACAGTTTGGTACTGACAATCACTCTTCACCTCCTGCACGACAACCTCTCCAATATCCTACACAGCCATGTACCCACAATAGTAATGAGGTAAGAAGGGAACAAGAATGGTACACAAGCTTCACCTGAATCAGAGAAAGAGACAATAACCTGAGTCCTCGTCCTCATCTGAGACAAATAAATGCTAAAGTGACAATTCCAGTACAACGCACAAACCTGAAATTGGTTTGGTACACTGCACCACCTCACACCACTCTCAACGGCACTCCCCTATTAAAAACCCAACACACTCTGGGCTTCCTGCCACTTCTCACCTGTTACCCTGCTGGGATCATCCAGCTGGAGCTTGGCAATCACACAGCCTGGATCCAAGACTGCCCCTGGGCGTTTGACATAATGGATGCAGCCTGATTCTCCTGCTGTTAGTGTCATCACCATTTTCATCACCTGTAGCAAGGAAAACAGGTTACACACTCAGCTTCCATGTTCCCCAAATGCTTCCAATTTTGTGAGCCAGCAGTCAATGTCCTACCACAGACAAACTAACTCACATGAGCAGCACCTTCTGTGTTCAGGCTTCCTCAAAGGCTCAAAAGCACACACAGTGGGAATTAAGCCCCAGACATTAAGTGGATGGTGGAACAAATTACTAGGCCACAAATTAGCGCGGCAGGAAGCCATCACCACCCGTTCCACACTGCTTGAACCAACAGGTACTCCACAAGGTCCCACGTTCAGCACAATGAACAAAGCAGATACAATTTACTGCTGCGCTCTAAAGGCTAGAAGTGGGAGAGCCACTCTTGAAAGGTCCAGCAACACGTTCACTTTCAGCAGAGGGAACTAGGATTACTTTAGATCTAGAGGTCACAAGTTTCTGACTGCTCTTCACAAACAGAGATGCCTCCTTAGATCAACCATGGAAGCTCTTGCCTTTGGAGCAGCAGGGTTTGGTAAGGAGGGAGGCAGTCTAGTGTTACCATTGCTATACTATACACCACAAGCGGGAACACAGGAATTGAGTAGGTGGTTCCTTCTCAGCCATGGCTCTGTTGCAGCATAAAAGCACTTACATAAAATATCTGGATCTCTGGCTTGATATTTTTCTCCTACACATTGTCCCCCACTGGTTTAATTGCCCCTCTGTCAACACACCCTCCCCTCCCTCAAATCTCTTTTGAGCCGTGCACTCCTACACAACCTCTCATGCTTTCCTCACAGTGATGCAGAAATTGTTCATCCTCCTCCTCTCTTAAGAGTTAAGTAACTTCCAAGGGAAAAGGGAGGAGTGACACTCATTAACTCATCCAATCAACCTGATAAATGATCAGGTAATCAGAAAAGTCTTAATTTGTTACTTAATCCTGGCATATAACTCTGCTGCTGAGTCTGAGTTAGTGGTCTACAAGCAGAAGGCCTTCTTCACCACAGCTAGAAAACACAGAACACTGGATCCCATTCTCCCCTGGTATCACAGCAAGATTGACAACCACGGTCTCACTGCTGAGAAATTTTGCTTATCACTTGGTACATAGTCATTAACACTCTAATCTCAGCTGTTAAGTAATTTCCTCCCCACCCCATCACTCTGCTGATTTCTGCATTAGTCCAGGTTAAACCACAGACAAAATTTGGAATGGAAATACCGTGAATTATCCCTCACACTCAATCCCCAGTTCCAAAGCATTCGACCTTTTTCCCCCCTCAGCTTTTGCCTGGGCAGATTCAGCATCTGCAGCCAAGTCAGTTCTTTGAGACTCTTTTACCTCTATTTCTGCAAAGCACTGGCCTGCAAACACGTGTCCCCCATCCTCCACCACATACTGGATAAGCTTTCCAGCTGAAGGTGAGCGCAGAATGGAGGGATCATTCTCCTTTTCAAACACACAGGTCTTGTTACCTATAGTGATGCGGTACCTAGGAAAGGACAGGACAAATCACTGCGACAGAATTTCCTGTGGAAAGCATGGGAAGGGGAAAATCCATTGTCTCCTTCTCTATTCTACTTCAAAACAAAACCAAAACATTTCTTCTGAGCTGAATGGTCTGGCCCTGCATATGAAAGCTCAGATTAAAGCCAGGAACCAGAAACCAGATAGAACAGCCCTTAGCAAGGTTGTATGTGTGTTACTTTTGTGCTTCTTCTCTACCAACAGGTATCACCCACTGTCAGAACCAGAACCATTAAAGGTCAAGATTTTGTATAAACAAAAACTGATGTTAGTGGAGATTACATGTGACACACAACACATTCACCAAACTGCCCACCTCATGCAAAATCTCCCTGTACACAGAGCAAAGCTGAAACAAGCAGGATGCACCCATGTCACAGACTAAGAGGCTGAGATTTTATAGCATTTTCCAACCCAGAAGGCACCGGTACCCAAACTCTCTTTGTACCCCTGACCAGATTCGTTACATTTGTCAGAGAAAAGAAACCAGCAGAGGGGGCAGTGGTTCACATTCCAAAGCTGGAGATTTACTGACCTCATGGCTATGATCTCTGCAGGGAATTTTGAGGGAATGCCCTGAAATAGTAAATCTTGTTGTATGTATGTCTAAGGCAGCTGTGGAGTTTCAAGGATTTTAAAGATTTTCATGTTCTGGTTTTTGTGGGGTTTTTTTTAATAATCCAAAAGGGCACTTTTAAAGAACCAGCAGGAGAATATGGACTCCACATTGGTACACACTCAGATCTTTCTTCTAACAGTAGCCAAGATCTATTCTTCAGGTGAAGGCAACTTCTCCCTTTAAACTCATCCCTAATACATATTGCTTTTCCTAGAAGAGAATTCTGTTCCCAGCTGATCTTTGGGAAGCATAAAGTTACAAGTACACCTAATTTTGGCTCGTATGTAAATGTTAAACATTAATCTTTACAGGCTGCTACCTGTCTACTTCTTCTTTCATGTAGGTAGTGTAGCTGCTACCATCATAAGACAGGAGCAGGCCTCCATCGCTCAGTCGGTGCACATCAACTTCCACACACGAGCTGTTCATGATGACCACGTAGGAATTGGGAGACTGTCGAGTCACCTGCAGATCCACAAGAACGGTACTGACCACACAGAATAAACACAGCACTGATAGTGCCTTGGCTGCCACAAGACACACAGTTTTCCAAGCACTGCAACAGTGGGAATTAAAGGGGAATAGAGCCATTTGTTCTCATGTTAGATGGAAAAAAAAACCCTATGTAAAAAAATTTGGGATCACAAAGCTGAGCATTCAGCAGTCAAGAGATGCCAGAACTAATGCTGCCCATGAACCTTGATTTAATCCTCTCACACTCATGCATTAATTGTACAGGTTTGATTATGCAATCCTATACAATTTCTTCACCTCAATCGACATACAAGTCACAGCCCTGTGCTAAAATTCCATAATGAATGAGATAATTTGAAAAAAAAAAAAGCAAAAGAGATTGTCTCACAAAAGCAGCAGCAGCTAAAGCCCTTCCTGGAAAAAGGGATTCTATCAGAGTCTCTGCCACAAAGTTCCTCTTTGAAGCTGGGTAAAGCACTTAAAGCACACTTCAGCTGCTGTTCAGCATCTATTTCTCATCAAAGGGGGGTCAAGATGAAATCATGGAGGTGCAGGGGTGCAGAATACTTAGAGCTGCAAAAAAACAGTATATGGTCATGGCATTAAAAACTTGATCATCATAAATTTGCCTGATGAAGTTAATTAAGATTGCACAGGCAATCTTAAGTCTAGCATCTCCTAACTTTTGTGTGCTTGCTTTTGCAACCTTTGAACAGTAATTCTAACATTGTTTTTTGCACACAGTAAACAAAAAGCAACACTAAGGGGAAAAATTGCTAGAAATTCTGTTATGCTGATGAAACTGGGCTTTAAACACCCAACAGGGTAGATCTACATATTCAGAAACATCAAGTGGAAGTTTTGGTCAACCAAAAGATAGTAGTCTTTGCCTGCAACGAAATATTCCTCACCCAAAGCAAAGCATTTCTTGACCCTGAAAGGTTAAAACGTTTACAGAGATACACAGAGATACTGCACTGGAAAGATGTGATGGGGCATTATCATAAGAGAGATGGTTCTTATTTCTTAACCCCACTAAAGCAGAGAAAATAAACCCTGTGAAGATTTCATTCCAATAATTACACGTATTACAAAGATTAAGCACACAAACAGTCGTTCCCAACCAAAAGTGGCATGAGGATGGGTTTCCACACTGTGCATCGTACCTTCAGCACATACTTCCGTCCTTCATAGATGAGTTCCACATCCACAGTGTTCAGCAGAGTATGAGCAGGCAGGACTTGGCCCCTTGAAAGAGAAGTATAAAACAAAACTGGTCTTCCAGAAACCACCAAATGGTTATCAGGGGCCCAAACAGGTTCAAAGGTGCATATAAGGATTTGGAAAACATGAGCAGACAGACAGGAGTAGGTTTTTAAACCGTCTCTTCTTGGGAGAGACACGTATCAGTTTGACAAAGCCAGCCCATCTCTCTCCAGCTACACAGATCAGCTTCACCCTCCTTCCCATTCACCCACTTTTGCCTTAGAGAAGAGTCTGCAAAAGCAACACCACAGCCTGAATTACAGAATGTGTAGCGTGACTTAACATAGGAATAAAGCAGCTTTTTCCCCTGCAGCTCTGTTTACCTGTGGACTCACCAACAGGACACTGAGGGGAAGAACCCTGTTAAGAGCAGACCTGCCTGGATCACACCAGGTTTAGCCTGCTGAAGTGTTATGACTTAGTTTTTTTTTTAGTGCCTGCTCTACTTTTAAGCCAGCAAACAGAAAGGGTTTCCTAAGTACTAGTGGGAAACATTCAATTTGGAAAATTATGTCAAATCTGGCAAATTAAATCAATCCTCAAAACCAAAGGAAGACAGTATCTGGTGATTCAAGACACCCTAATGCTGCCCTAGCAGCACACAGAGAAACAACTCCACATTTCTAAGCCATATCTTGGCGCTTCAGGCAAAACTGCCAGAAACCAACCTGTGCAAACTGCAGGGGATATTCTGGGGAGATGCACAGATATCTGCCAGTTTTCTTAGGCCAGCAGATAAATAGCTTTGAGAACAGTCAGTAGATAACAAGCTCTGTGTGTTTCTGGACTGTACTGTACCTGAATAAAACTTGTAAATCAAAACTAATTAAATTACTATCTGCTTATCAGCTAGCTACCAGAGCAGCTTGCCATTTTACCTTTCTAGAGAGTGCAAGAAGTTTGAGACACTGTTTCGGAAGCTCACATCAGCCACATGCAGGGCTCCACACACCACTCCCAGCATGGTATCAGGCCTTTCCGCCTAGAAAGAAAGGGAACATAACACAGTTACAGCTTCAGTACATTCTGGACACTCACTTGAAGAATCAACAGTCTTAGCTCTATTTTTGGTTCACAGTCAACCTCTCTTTAAAATTAAATTGGTGTGTCATACATGCCAAGGCTATATAGAAGCAATTACATCTGTAACTCTTTAAAAGAAAACCACATTTTTCTCTTCCTGCATCAAACCTCGAGGCTCCACTTCCATTTCTACTGTTATCTATCCCAAACTGCAAACCAAAACACTAGCCTTAATTCACACGTACACTAGGATCTAGGATGCCTTTCTGGCCAACTTTAGGTCCACTCCTCCCTGACAGGGATGACCTGGGATTTTGATATAAATAAGAATTAAGGCCAGTGAAAATGTTTATTAATAAAGTGGTAAATGGAAATTAACCATTTCTAAATCCTTGTCCTCTTGTAACCAGCACGCACCAACCTTGCCCCCCCCCTCCCCTCACTCCAATTTGTAGGCCTGTACAGTAAGCAGCTGCACCTGAACTTTCTCAGCGATAAGCCGATCCAGCCAGCCAGTGTCAATGCGGTTCTGCTGGAAGCTCTCTGTCTCCAACAGTTTAATCAAGTACTCGACAGTGGTTCGGAAATCCCCTCGGATGGACAGCTCCTTCAAAGCCACTACCATGTTTCTGAAAGAGAAAAGAATACCTATTATTTATCCCATACTAATGGCAACATGCAAGCTGGTAACTCTAGATAGTTCCCCATGAGCTGTTGGGAAAAAACAGTCTGAAGGTAATAGCAGGAGAGCGTGTGCACTGGAGCAAGATCCCATATGACATGCTTGGGAATGAAAGAATATTGATTTACTTCACTCTGCTGCTGGTGTGAACAAGAGCAGTTCAGCCAGCACCAGCTATGAGATCAGGAGTTCCCACTGTTATCACCACCTAGGTATCTACCATGTGTCAGAAGTATACATAGGAGAGAGAGACGTGGTCTCCATCCCACCCAGAATGCAACAGACTAAGGGCTCTGGATGAAAGCAGCGTGGATGGCAGGTCGGACAGCCCTGCCTTATGACCAGATGCTGTAACATTCACACCACATAAGGACACTCAGTGGTTTATAAACCATTATAAGAGACTGGCATAACAAGTTCCCAGTGTTTCCCTGTTAGAAGCCTTCCATCTGAATGCTTTTGAAGAGGGACTTCAACACAATGGTAGCTGCATCATACCCCAGGAGCAGGTACACAAGGCAGGAATGAAACAGAAAGGGAAAAAAAAAAAGAGAAGTAAGCAAAAGTGTAGAAATGCAGGTGCCACACAGGGGATTGCAAATTGAGACAGGGTGAGAAGCCTGACCATGATGTGGAAAACAAGGTGAAGAGAGGGAAACTTCTCTTAAGACTCCTAGAAGTAGAGTCTTGTTTTATCCGTGGCACTTTGGATCAAAGAGGACAAAATCAAGCAATTTACAAGGTTCTACCACTTTTCTGACTACTTACGAGATGGCTTCTTCACGATTTTCTCCCCAGGAGAAGCAGTGACCAAACTGAGAATCAGCAAATTCATGAAGCCCTCCTGCAGCAGCAACACTGAAATAGCCCCAGACATTCTTATTGCTGCGGAAATTCAGTTCCTGAACTGTACCAGAACTGGGCTTAAATCCCTGTAAAGACAGACAGACATTGCTATACATCCTAAAGAACAAGTAAATAATGCAGAATTAGGGAAGTAATTAGAGTTCTGAAGGCTAGAGCACCTCTTCACAACATGTTACACACAAAAATAAGTTCAGGCTGAGACTAACCAGAGTCTACAGAACCGTCAGCTAAGTGAGGTAAGAGAAGAATCTTTTAAAATTGCTGCCAAAATTTTCAGGCTCAGCAGCAGGGATTGAGCCTGGGTGTAAAGCCTCAGGTTATCAGAGTGTGACCAGTAACTACAGAAGTTAAAACACACCTCATCAGGATTCTCACTGGTGATACGTGCAGCAATGACGTGGCCGCGCGGACAGGGGACGTGGGCTGAATTCTCAAAATCAATAGCTGCATCTCCCCATGGAGAAACACCATACATCACCCGGATATCCTTGATCCTGTGGAGGGGAATCCCCATGGCAATCTAAGGGAAAATAATAATAATAATAATAAAAAATAATACAATGTATCACCACTAAGTAAGTTTCTCTCCTCACAGAGAGTATTTACTACTTGAAGAATTCCACCAATTCAGTTCTAGCACAGCCAACACACACACCTATTTTCTGAGCCTTCCCCATTGATGTGGCTTGGAACATTCATATTTCTGAGGACAGCTGAGCTCACTGTCATATCCACCTTAAGCCCTTCAGCCAGTATTTTCCATTGACTGATTAAAGGGCTCTGGAGAAAGCTGGCCAATGCTAGCTCAGCTGAGGATGGGCACGCATTAGGCCTGTTAAAAATATACTAAGGTCCCAGTAAGACAGAAGGCCCCTGAGTGTTTATGGGAAACTGGAATTTTGCAATAAACTGTGGAGAGAGTAATCTGTGGAACTGGCTGCTGGCTGTATCCTTATGGAATAAAGTCCCACTTGTTCTGTTCATTAGCTGGGATTTTTTTTTTTTTACAGCTACAGTTCAAAAAGGTTGAGCTTTAGCTTAACCATTTATTTCAGCTGTTTATGAGCCAGACACCAAGAGACAAAAGACCAAACTGGTTACAATATCAATGCATCATTCTATGAAAGTGTATCTAGCCTCAGCAGTGTGAAGAACAGTGCCCAAACAACGAGGAAAGCATCTGACCAGTTACCAAACTCTCAATGCCTGGCAGATGCAGACACACAGCTACTGGAATCACTTGCTGAGAAAAGGCTCAGGCCAAAGCCAAATAGCCTCCTGGCAAAATGAAGATGCTCCTGAGCAGCCTACATGACTTGTAGGTCAACTCTTTTTCTCATCATCTATCCAAGAAACTTCAAAATGCAAACAGCAGGGAGAAGAAAGTAACTAGAAAGAAAGCAAGAGGGTAAGAATGGGAGGGCTGAGAAAATTCAAGTAGAAAAGCAGGTAGATCCCCTAATGTGGTGTGAGACAAAGAGGGAAGGAGGAGTGCAGCATTCATCCTCTGGTGGAAAAGATGGGGGCTGAGAAGAGGGAGAGAGCATGGCAGCACACAGGGAGCTTGGTTGGGATGCACAAGGGACAGGGGAGCCACAGCACATGCAGCAAATGCTTCCTATAGGATCTGTGAAGGATTCCCTCATCACTTTGGGGATCAGAACAAGAAAAAACCTACTCATTCACATAAGCTGTAACTGTCACCCACTGTCATGACTTCCCCTTGAGAAAGCACGACATCGAGACAAATTCTAGTACCTAATTATTAGGCACAAATCCTGGTTTGTAGAAAGGCTGAAGAGCAGGGACCTCAGCCAGGAGGAGGAAGCATCTGTGATGAGTGAGGGGCTTAGAGAGCTGGAAACAATTGCTCTGGAAGTCAGGAACTGCTCATCAAAATTAAAAAGACCCAAGTCACTTTCCTGAACTTCAAACAACTGCTGATCTTGCTGGAAGATGAAAATCCAAATGTCTGTTCTTTTTTCCCTCCTTTTGTCACTAGAAACCCTGGGAAGAGGCTGTTGTCCCTTGGAGGCAGAGTGGGTGATGCACTGCTCAAAACTGGCACAGCACCGGATCGCACTGCTAGCATCAGAGCCAACTCATTTCACACAATTACTTCAGAGCTTAAAGTTGAACTACTCATGGCTAAAGCTTGTTGAGACAGGCTTTTCTACACACAATCTCTCCTGAAATCTGTTCTCCTGCTTCTATTTTTTATTCCTATATTGCTCCCCTTCACACTCCTTTTAACTTAAGGTCCAGCAGAGCAGCCCAGAAGAAACAACTAGAGAATAACATCTCTTTGCTTTCCAAATCAGAAAGAGCCAAATGGTAGAGCTGTAACTCAGTGAAGCAGTGATAACAGAAGGGATGCACGTGTATCTTGCAATTCTGAATGAAGCTTTGCTCCAGCCATAGAAGATAAATCCCAAACTGAGAAAGCACCAAAATGGGCCTCTGAGTTATTGGGTGTTTTTGTTGAGGAGGAAATGTGGGGGAGTCAAATTCTGAATGAAGCTTTGCTCCAGCCATAGATAAATCCCAAACTGAGTTATTGGGTGTTTTTGCTGAGGAGGAAATGTGGGGGAGTCTTGTATCACCTGTCTGCACAGGAGGACAGAGGCCATATTGAGTAGAGCTCTCTAACACTCTCTTTACATTCTCTCCTCTATCAGTACCAAGATCTAGTCATGCGCATAATGTCAGTATGTGATCCAGTTTTACACAGAACCCTGGCTGTGACTCAGAGTCCACCCCCTAGTTTTACTGAGGCTTCAGCAGAACAGGTTTTTCACGCTCAGGCCTCTTCAACATACCAGAGTTTGAGTCCTTCTGAAAGCTTCCAGGAGCACAGGGCCTGGGCACTCACCTGGAGCTGCGCTGCTGGCAGATTCACATCAGCCACCATCTCTGTGCAGGGATGCTCCACTTGCAGGCGGGGATTCAGCTCCAGAAAGTAGAAACTCCCATCCTGGCTGTACAGGTATTCCACAGTGCCTGCACTCACGTACCCCACCATTTTGGCAAGCTTCACCGCACACTAGGATACAGGAAAAATGAGGGTTTGGTTTCCAGGCCCCATGCTCAGTTACCTGTGCTCTGTTCATCCATCCCATCCACCTCAGACTTTTTTGCTGGCATTCTGAAACATCCAAAAGCTTGTAACAGGACCAAGAACTGCTCAAAGAAAAGCATGTGGCACAAGAGTTCTGATTTCCAGGTTATTTCATTTACAATTTACGTAAGGCAGTGTTTGAAGCAAATATTTAAAATACTCAGCATCAGATAATTCATACAACTCCTGCAGCTTGCTTTTAATATGACAATCTACATTTAAAACATACTTCCCTCCTATTTTTGGGGCACACAGATTTTTGAAGGGAGCTCTACAGCTGTTTTTCAGCACATGGTGGACTCAGTTTTGGAAATGTGAGCGGTTGCCCACACTAAGCAGTTCAAGACACACAACCCTATATTGCTCTTTTAAAAGATTCAACAATGCCAAACTCCTGGTGATGTCAAAAAAACCCCAAAACCATCCTGCCTGTTTCTGGAGTTTCACAAGGAAAAGAGGAACTTGCAGAGCCACTCTCACCTGTTCCATGTGCTCAAACACCACTGAAGTGGCAATAGAGGCAGGTGCTTCCTCAATAATCTTCTGGTGCCTGCGCTGGACGGAGCAATCGCGACCGAAGAGAGAGATGGCATTGCCGTACTGGTCTGCCAGGATCTGCACCTCCAAGTGCCGGGACTGTTTGGCCAGTCTCATTACAAAGATTGGAGAGCCTGGGACTTCAGCTTGAACCTACAGCAGACACACAAATAGGCAGTGCAGTTTTTGTAAACACTTGTCTTAGTTACAATGATCTCAAGTTCATTTTTTAAGCAAGGAACATCCATATTTCCCTGGGCTACTTAAGCCTGAAAATACCCTGTGACAGCTTGTACATAATTACAGTGCCATTCCCACTCCTCTCAGCTTTCCTAAATAACCCATCAACTAAAAAAGGCTCGTGTCACTCAACATTTTTGAGTTACACTGCAGATGCCCTCCATTACTTGGATTTATTCAGCATCTCCTACAGTGTTCAGGCATTTCACAACTGTATTGGATGTGCAGATATATTGAAATCCTATCAACATACAGAGCAGAGAAAGCATGAACTCGTGGTTCAAAGCAGCTGAACATGCTCTGATACATAATGCACTTTTTCAGCCCTTTAACATTTCTGATTCAGTGCTCCCAGAATCACCCAACCTGACCATTTAAAACAAAACAGTACAAGCCAACGGGAAACGTTACCTGTCTGAATAGGTTGGGAAAGTCATCTGCACTGTTAACTTTCCTGATTCCTTTTCCCCCTCCTCCTTCAGAAGCCTTGATCATTACAGGGTAGCCAACCTCCTCAGCAGCCTGATCAGGATAGGCAGAAAAACATGGGTAAGTACAAAAAGTTAGCAGAAACAAGCTGCAAAGATCATTATTTTCCTGTTGATTTGTGTCGCAGCTTCCACGACTGACTCTATTTAGCAACCAAGACACGAATGGGATAGAAACCAACATTCCAGTTTGAGAGAGCATCTGTAGTCAGAAAAATCAGCAGTGACTGTGACTAAAGAGAACTCTGGCCTCTCAAAAGTGATCATAAAATATTTTGTCAGTGCTTCACACCATTGCATTTATAAACTCACAGAAAAGCTTTTGTGTAATACAGAAAATCATTAAGCTGGGAAACAGAAAAATCACAGACTCACAGACTCCACCCCCTCTCTTCACAAAGGAAAAGTCCCAAACCCTGAATTGTGCCAGGAATATTTCTTATTCTAGAAATCTTCCTCAAAGTAAAACTTAACAAAAGATGAAACCGACTGTGAGGTCATGGGTCTTCATTAAAAAAACCTTCTTCCTGCATTAAACAAAAATCAGAAGAGAGCCCTTAACGAAACACAACTTTGCTCCCATATTTATGTCTTTCTCCTAATTCTCACCTAATTCTGCAGGCTGGGCCCAAAGATGATACGTGAAAGATCACTTTCCAGTTTCCAAGACTCAGTTCTGTCAGGCTGACAGTCTAGTTCTAGTTTGTACTCCCATTAAAAATGAACTAAACCTCTAGCTCTCTCCAGATGCGCATGCAGCAAGACCTCAAATACCTTCACAGCACCAGCCACGTACCCGCAGTCCATCATCGGCGTCTTTCACGTAGCCTTTTTCATACAGCTCCTGAGGAACATTCAAGATACGCTTCTGAAGATCACTTTCCTGCCAGTCCACTCGAAGACCTGAAATACAAGGATTATCTTCTTAGCTCATTGTGCTGCACGGCTCAGTGAGAACCCACACGTCAGACATGGGTGAAACAAACAGCAGCTGTAGTTCCACAGGGCAGTAGTCTGGGAGCATTTACAAAAGAGCAAATGCAGGATGTAAACAGACATTTCTGTTTTCTGGAGAGCAGATCTTTCCATCCAACACATTACATCCTCCTCCATTTACCTTGTGCAATTCTGAGAAACAGGTTGTTATTTACAGTCTTTTGAACCTGTTTAGAGCTTCCATGGAAGCGGAGAATTGGCTGTGTGCTCCGAAACTACATGCTAGAAAAGTAGAGACAGAACTATCAGATACTCCAGCTGTACTGTTAGACTAACAGCACGTTACACAACACACAAATTCTGCCTGACACATCCATATATATCGTAGTCACTATGTCTAAGCCTCAGGTAATACAAATCTGAAAGCCTAAATGATGGAACATCTCTTCAAATGCTTTTTTGTGCACAGACACTTCTTAAAGATTAGATGTGTTGAAGTAAAAAATATTAGAATGATCTTGACAAACACAGCAATTTCCCTCTTACCACTGCCACTCCAAGGAAGAGTTGGAATGCCGGCAGTCTGAGCCACTATTGAAGAAGCAATTTTATCTCCTAAGGCCCACATTGCTTGGCTTGGGGGACCTGCAAAGAGCAAAAACAACGCATGAGAGAGACACAAGAGATACCAGACATGAGGAAAATTGTCAAAGGTCTGATTAGGGCTCCATGTAAGAGGGATAAATAAATACTCTAGCAGGGTTGCTGCACACCCCACCTCAACTGGTATAAATCAACAGTTCTGAACCCAAACAGAGAGCATCAACTGGCATCAGCCAGGAAACTGAAAACAAATAGAGCACTTCTGACTAAGAAGGAGGAAAAGGCAATTGCAACTAGAGCAGTGCACCCACAGACACATCACAACAGCTTAAGTGCCCTTCCTGTTAGAGAAGTCCTGGCACACTCAGCTTGCAAGCACCACTCTGTCCATGTGTCCTCAAGCCGGGCCTGCTCTCAAAGGGTTGGCAGGTACTACCAATGTAGTGTTCACATCACATGCTACTGGAATAACAATTCAGTGCCCTGATTTTACTGGAAATGTGGTTTGCATGGGACTGTAGTGTATGATTGGTAACAGATTTAAACTAGAATTGAAATTCAGCTTTTAAATCCACTCCTCTCCAAAGGTCTAGTGTATTTCTGTGGTTATGGCTCAAGACACTGCAGATAAAAAGATCTGCTAGAAGTCAGAACATGGCACAACTATCCCCAGGCTAAGTTCAGACCATGCCTTTTATCACAAATCCATCTTTAAACACGGCACGTGTCCAAAACCTTATCCAGCATTCAGATCCACGTAGTTCAGGAGGTGAGGCTTACTGCAACAAACATCTCCAGCACTTGGTTAGTCACACTGCTAACTAGACCACACACTCCACATATTGTCCATGTAGAACTCCACTCTTCCCAAAAAACTGAACTATAAACAGCCTCTTTAAGATGACAACAGGGACATTCAGCTTCTGAAACAATCTGCTGTAACAGAAATCTTTTCTGATTTTGTATCTCACAATATTCAAAGACATGTTGGAGAACTTGCTGCTTCTCCAATACAAGAAGTGTTTCCCAGTATCTCTCCAAACTTATCTAATTTCATTAGCTAGACATTAGATCAGAAGTGTACATCCTCACCCATGAAAGCAATCCCATTTTTGTGGAGAAGTTCTGGTAGTTTGGGGTTCTCAGATGCATGGCCCCAGCCAGCCCATACAGCCTGCAGAAGAAAATAATATAATTCACTCTTTGTTTTAGCAAAACAAGTGAGTAGGAACAGAAAGCGTGCAGATACTTCAAGTCTTTCTTTTCCTCAGTGAATACAGCCTCATAACATTCACAAGCCAGATCGGCCTCCTGACCTACATGGTATGCTTAGTTTAAAGAGAAAGCATCTTGCATCTTATAGACAAGTCAGAGGTGGCTGCTGAAGCAAGCTGTTGAACAGAAAATAGGTGTAGGGGAGTCAAAGGGTGAGGGGAACCCTTTATCTCCTGCAGATATTCATCCTGGGAAATCCACTGCGCTGCAATCTGCATTGCCTTTTGGTGCTTGCTTACATTTATAACTTCCATTTCTGTGACCTTTTTGCCCAGATACAACTCGTTATTAAGGAGAGAAGATTGCTTAGTGTTACCTCCTGTTTTGAAAACTATCTTTGATTCTTCTCACCTGCACTGGAATCCGCTTAGCAATATCAAGAATGAGTTCCACATTTGCATAGTTGTTGTTGTTCGGTCCTCCTGGAACTGGGACGTAGTGATCTGCCATTTTAATGTACTCTGCAAACACAAAGGTCTCATTTAGATTGCAAATCTAATAAACAGTACTTGGTCTAAAACTCCCTAAATCTAGAGTACTGGAAGTTCTTCATCTCTGCCCAGAAATATCTGTTACCTGACAGAATGGTATGGGATGCAATGGATGTACATTCAGCTTCTTGCATCCTTGTGTGCACATGGGTCTGTGCAAGGAGAAGGCTGTGCACTGTCACGCTCTCTACTACTCACCTGCATTTGCTTTCAGATCCTCGGGAGTCACCATGACAACAAATCTGATTGCCCGCTCATTTCGAAACATCTCATAGGACCAGCGGCGGATGGATCTCATGCACTTCACTGCGGCAATGCCGTTATTGGCTATCAGGACCTGAGGATAGTAGAAGCAGGGATGAGACAGAATCTAAAGGGCACAAAACACTAAACAATAAGGAAAACAGTTTTTTCTCTGCAGACTCTCTGTCCAGTTTTGGGGCTGTGCAGTTCCGTCAGCCAGCATTCAATGCAGCAAGAATGTTTAATGGCCCATCCGTCAATTCAGAAACCAGCTCTTGCTCAACCATAAAGATTTTAATGTCTTATGCTTTGTTTGTATTAAAGAGCAGAAGGACACATGAGAATAGGCTTAACGAGTAGCTAAAACATTCAATACCTGAAGACACCTCATCCATTAAATTGTTATGTATTTTTAAATACATTTCTCAGTGTTTTTCCCAGTCTACTTCCTTTATACCTGTCTATAAATCCTTCTGTATCAGCACAAGTGCTCTAGCTCACTCAGTTGTTTTTTTTCCCCTGTCATATTAAGCTAAAACAATGCATCTTTATTTATGACATATAAAATAAAATGGAAACACAATGATTACAGGCAGGAGTACAACTTTCAAATTCAGAATATTACTATTTTGCTATCTGCAATATACAGCTTTATGTAGAGAGAAGTCACAGCTCAAGAGAAGGGAACAAAATGCAATATGCTAAAGTCAAAAAGGTCAGTGACTTACCTTTTCAATAACTTTATTCCCTCCAAAACGAGTAACAAATTCTGCTGGAGAAGCCACAGTGAAATCCCGCTGCACATCCACTTTCTTCCTGTCCCGGCCTTGCTTTACAAGGTGCAAACCAGACATGCTGGGCCTACAGAAATTTGTGGGAGATAGAAAAAAAAGCAACTTGGCAGTGCAGATGTACTCAAAGAGTAGAGTATGTGAATAATTTGTGAAGTTCCCCTTAACCATGTTCCCCAAGCAGAATCACTCCTTGCCTCCAGACCATTGTGGCACCTGGTCCTCAGCTTTTACAGAGGTGACTTCATTTTCCAAATACCTTTCAGTTACCTCTCTGCAAAAGCCAGGTTATCTGGAGAAATTCTGGTTATGCTAAGATATAAATAGGTAAAAATGTGGTTCACTGTACATAGCTGCCCAACACTGAACACCACCACTTCACCACATTGCTTTCCTTTTTTCTAAGGAAGCTGGGAAATGACAGCAATGTTTTCTGGCTTTGGTTAAACAAGCCTCTAAGCTCAGACTCCATAAAGAAATCTTATTTGAGAACCAGAGCCAATAAGTCTCCAGGTATAAATGAGAGACTCTGCTATCATTTTACAAGAATTTTCCACCATCCAGTCTTAAATATCTTCCTCAAAAGTTCTGAGAGCTAGAGGACACATTAATCACATTCCTTCTACAGGCAGTGAAAGCCAATTCTGTGTCTGACCAGCCCAGCCCTGTGCTTTGCCACCGTCCTTCTGTGTGGGAATGGGACAGTCGCTTCCCCTTCTGCTGCTTCAGCTTCCTCAGAAGCGACAGGTGGATAAATCAACCTTTGCTTCTGCAAGCACGACAGGATTTGATTCACCAAAATTTACAAAGCTGAAATTGTGAGAGGAAACTTAACAGATAAGCAAAGCCCTCCTGCTCTCACTGTGCATCCACCACAGTGCAGCATGGCCATGGCAACAGCAAGACACGCTGGATTTCAAAGCCCCCAAAGCTGTGGGGTTACCCCCCAGTTTGTCCATTTTCCTCTCTGTAATTAGCGTGCTTTTCTTAACAGGTTCGTTTCCCACAAACACACTGAAGCCCTTACCCTTGCCACCACGCAGGACTACAGAACCTCTCAGTAGGAAGGAGAGATGAATATTGGGAAGGTATTTAAAAAAACTACTCAATGCTTTGGAAAGACCCAAGTGCAACCGAGGAGGTGAGTGCACAGGAGCAGCTGGGTAACTGGCAGCATCTGTCCCCAGGAGCCATGCGGGCCCCACCGGCTGCCTTCAGCCATGGGAAACCCATCAGGAACCTCTGCCCTCAGCAGCTGCTGAAGTGCTGGTATCATTGAGCAACTCCACTGGGAAATGGCCTGGGATGCAGCAGAAAGGGACTGTTACTGCTGGGGGAGGGCACGAAAGGAAAACCAACCCAAGGACAAGCCAAGTTATGTACAATGTCTAGAGGTCTCCTTTTAAACACAGCCACCCAAGGCAGAAAGCTGTACCCCTGAGGTTCACTGCCCTGTTTGGGGTTTGGAGCATCCTGGCTTGAACAAGCTGCTGTTAGAGGTGTTTGGTGACAGCCTGAGAGGAAACACACAGATTCCCCCTCCCATTCCTCATAAATACATTATGGCCTCTGCACATTTACCCATCTGGAATGCAGACCCTCCTTCACTCTTCATCAGGAGCACACCAAGATCTGGAGCAGTATTTTGACTAAAGAATGTGCTGATGAAGGAAGCCTTGAACAAACTGTAGCAAGTATCTGGTTTAAATCCAGACTCTTCTCTTACCAATCTTTCCTAGAACGACCATGGTACTACCACAGACCACGCTGTGCTTTGCAGAACCTATTAACAGAACCTCTGCCTTCGTGCACACCATCTACTTTGGCTGTGACATCCTCCTGTGGCACAGCCCTGACTGTGTGAGGATTTCCAGAACAGCACTTGAAATTCAGACCCTGGGTTCAGCGTTAACACATCAATCTTTCTCTCCCACACCTGAGATATTCCCATGACAAAGGGCCATGCTGGTGACGAACTTCAAGTCACAGTGACAGAGACTTTGAAGTGACCCATGAAGCCAAGAGTGGGACAAGTAAAGGTAACAGGAAAAACAAGATCAATAGGGTGATGTTAAAGCCTGCTAAAAACCTGACACCTATCTCCCAGTGATATTCTGGGACACAGAAATGGCTGTACTCGGTCAGATCAAAGTGTGTCCAGTCTGGTCTGGTCTCAAAGAGCAGGTGCCAGCTGATACCCAGAGAAGGGCACACGGACAAGCTAAGTGTGCAGAGGTTCTTCCCCTGGGTACTTTCCCTCCTTCCAGGGAGGAGCACTTTCACAGACAGACACCACAACTGCATTTAAAACTTGTCCCTATCAGCAAGAGTTCACAAACTGCTCTGTGAGAATCTCAGCCCAAGAATTCAAGGACAGGAGCCAACAGGCAAGAAAAAGAAGAAAGGTGTGGTTAAGGTTGAATTTCTACTAAATTCATTTATTTAAAGAGAGTCAGAACCTATGTTATGGCAAGGAAAGAGCACAGTCCAACAAGTGAGACAGGTTTATTCATTGCAGGTTTATTCAGAGCAGTCTCAATAAAAATAGAAAAAAAAATATAAAAACTTTGGGGTCAGAAGCAGTGAACATGTATGAATATGAACTATCCTGCCAAGCTGAAATTACTACACACAAAGGTACTGCTGTGGATAAAGTATCAACAAAATCAGAGCTTCATCATCCAGAATAATGCACAAACACTTGGTTATAAGCAAGTAGAGTTCTGTTTAATTTGTGACAGTAAGCATACCAAGAACATCATGTTTATTTACTAATAACCACAGGCTGCACATTATCATCAAAACAGGAGAGATTTTTTTCTTTTTGCAGGGTAAGATGAGGTGGAAGTTGGGCAGCAAGGAAGAAAGAACAGCGAGCTCTAAACAAAACAGAACAAATGCTGAGTTAGTAACAGTCATCCCTGCTAATCACCAGGCCACAACTGCAGTGCTCTGTTACGTAGGAACTTGCAAAATGCTCATGGATCCTTCACTTCACAGAGGTTAGAAGTTGTGCACAATCTCAAACTTTAACACTGATTTCCCAACCAAGACATATTCTAGCAGCTTTCCTGCAGCCTGCGTGCACAGATACCCCCCAGTCACTGCTGAGGCTTCAGAGGATAAAATGAACATGGGGAAATAGCCGTATGCATTTCCAGTCCAGTGCCCAACTGCCTCAGCCCAAGACAAGGAAACAATCAGAGCTGTAATTCTTACCTTTGCAGCATGTGGTATCTCATTTCCTGACTCTGCTCTGCAGAATCCTCCATGCTGTCTCAGTGAAGGAATTAACAGATTTCAGGCTTGCTTACGACTCGGCTAGTGCAGCCGCTGCTAGTTTATTATTTTTTTTCAATATTGCAGCAAAAAAACCCAGCAGGAAAAATCTGCAAAGAGCCTCTTGCACTCATGCAGTTCTCCTTGAAGCAGTGGCATGTCCCAGATTGCTTCAATCTTTTAACCTTTGTCCCTGGCTTTTCACCACCCCTCTCTCTCAGTCACTCTTCCTATGACGCAGCATGCACAGCGAGGGGAGCAGCTTCCCTCTTCTGCATTCAGAGGAAAGCAGCTGATCAGGAAAGAGAGAAAATGATCTCCAGGTTACGTAATGTGGCTTAACACACAGCCCCGCCGCTGCAGCCCACACGACACGCCGTGTTCACAGCCAGGCTCAGCCCCAGCTCCTGCTCCCCATGTCGGGGGTCACACAAGGAAGCGGAGACCTCACGGCTTCCCCGCGCGCTCCGTCAGCATCCAGAGGAGCCCGGCACCGCGGGACTGTGCCGGGAGCAGGAGAGCATCTCCTCAGCAGTGAGCTGTGTGAGGGCAAAGGAGCAGCTACAGGGGCCAGGCAGCCCAAAGAATTCAATCAACACGTTGGATTTAATATCAGATCTTCAGAAGGGGTGGGGAGGTGACAAGGAAATTATTTCCAGGGCTGCAGAGAAGCAAGTCAGACGCACAGTTTGCACAGGCAGACGGAGCACAGCGGTGACGCTGACGTGAGACAAGAGATCACACTGGACACCAGCTTGGAAGCTGGGAGACCCTGGAGAAGTCACTTAAGTTTTCTGTGCCTCTGTTTCTCCACCTATAAAATGGAGATGTGGTCACTCTGAGTGCTATAAGAATAAATGTCCTCACAATATGCTACAGCACTGCAGGGTCCAACAGCATCAGTGGAGAAAGGAAGAATGTTTACTGAGTACAAACAAAAACATAAATTGCAAATCTGGGGGAAGGATAAGCAAGAGCAGTGACTGCAGTAACACAGTGGTGACCAAACCTGGACTGAACGAGACACAGCAACTGGATGACATTTTGAAATCTGAGGACATTTGGGTCTGTCCTAGTGTAGGGTCACATCCAGGTAGCACAGCTTTTATTTGATGCACGCACATTCCAAGAGTCTGAGCAAAGGCCATGCAATCACCAAGGGGGGCATCACTCAAAAAACAGAACAAGCACCCAGAGGAAAAGTGCCACATGAACACGATGACAGCGTGCAACCTTGAGCCCTGAAGGGCAAGGTGAGGTCACTGCAGGAGACCAGGAACTAAGAATAGTACAGGCAATGTGAGCGACGACCAACAGCAAGTGCCATGTGTCTGATAAAGTGCAGGCAAACAATTCTGAGCAGCTCCAATTTCTCCAGGCATTGTCAGCAGAAGGGTAAAGGGGACAGCGACACGCTGTGGCAGTGGAGAAGGCAGCCACAGTGGAAAGAAATCTCTTCACCAGACAGCAGAGACAAGAGATACCAGGGGAAGAACAGAGTTCAAACAAACAAACAAACCCCAGCAATATATATCTACCTAATAACTAAATGCCTCTCTCTCCTGTCAGCCTTTGTTCCTCTTTGAAGAGCTACACAAACTCCCCAACTATGAAGTACACCAGAAATTTCCCATTTAATTCATTTTAAAGCAGAGTATGTAAGAAAAAGCAACTTCTCTTGAAATATTTTCCAGCACCAGCTCCATCTTGAGAGGCCTCCTGCTGCACCACTGACACAGGGGTGGTACAGACCCCTGCTCCCAGCCCACCTGAGCAAACCTGGGGTCCCAG